CTCCATTTGTATAAGTAAAAAGGAGCAAAGGATGATAAAAAGATGGTGGTTTCAACACTGATGAAGATGGCTCTACAGGCGGCGAAAAGGAGACGAAAAGACTGATAAGATTTAGAGGTCTGATTAGAGCAAAAAGTAAAGTTTGATTCAATGAAGGAGCGGACTATTTATAGTCTAAACAATAGTGGTTCAATATCAATAATGGCCAATCATCGTCTGGCACACATTAAATGCATCAGTAAACTGAATCGAAGGGACAACTATCACGTACGTCATGGTCGGACTCGATGCAAACGTCAGTATATATCTAATCATACCGTTGGAAAATCATGTTGTTTCTCGTTATATCCTTCCTGAGAAACGAGGGGACTATCTGTATACGGCCAAAACCGATTAGTCCGTCATACGAACTGGTTGAGATGGTAATACTTTGATCGAAGAGCGTCTTCGTAATATCAGATTGAGGTCCGAAGTCAGGTCATCAAGCTTCGAGTTCTAGGACCGATCAATGTCAAGCTCGATATCATTATCGAGCTCGAATCCGAATCGAGCTGTGAGGCGAAGCGAGATTATCGAGCTTAAGATTCATAGACCGACCGGCACCGACCCCGAATCGATACCGGACTCCGAGTCAGAATCAAGCTCGAGTCAAGATCGAGAGCTCGAGTCAATACCGAGCTCGAGTCAATATCGAGTTCACAGACAAGAGTCGTTTTAATCGCACTAGGGGAGAGAATCCTGACAGGAATTAGGGAAAAGCTAATTCATCATGGGCTCCCCACTATGTAATTTTTATTATATCTAAAGTAGGATCCCTCCACTATAAAAGGGATGATTGTTATTTCTGTAAAGACACATTCACATGGTAACAAGAATACTATTTTCTCATATTGAAAGATTAACCTTTTGAGCTCCATTACTTCATTTTATTTTGTTCATTCATTTTCTAATTTTATATCTGTAGGTGATTTTTTGTAGTTTTTAAAGAAATTAAGTGCTTTTAAAAATCAAAAAATTGTCACTCTTTTTAACCTTTTGTTTTTGTTTTTCCTAGTTAAATCAGTGAATCCTAAACTTTTGTATGTTATGCTAATTATGATATACCAATGTGTAGTATACTAAGAATATTAAGAGTACAATATTTAACAATAATTATGGTATACCAATATGTAGTATACCAAAAATATTTGATATACCGTTTAACGTACTCTAATAAAGTATACCATAATTTAATACTAATAATAGTATACCAATGTACAATATACCAAAGAATATTGAGAATACCAGAATTTAACACTAATCATAGTATATCAATATGTAGTATACCGAGAATATTTGGTATACTATTTGATATACTCAAATAAAGTATACCATGATTCAATAGTAATCAATGTATACCAATGTGTAGTATACCAAGAATATTAAAAATAACATTTAATATACTCGAACAAAGTATACCACGATTTAGTAGTGATTATGGTATACCAAAAAGTAGTATACTAAGAATTATCTGTTATTAGTGATGCTTCTATTAGTGATGCCTCTGATATTAGTGATGCTTTTATTCTTCTAGAAGAGGCCCAACGTCTCATATCTCGGGTAATAATCTGTTTACTGCACTTTGTTTCTTTACTCTCTTCTAAATTTGACTTGCGTTTTCCCTTTTTATATAGGCCCTTGCCAAGTTTTGAGCTGATCTTAGCAGTGTGAGACCGAGCTCCAAAAGGTCTCGGAGGAGAGGAATGCTCTGAAACTTCTTTGCAGCCAAAAGGACGAGACTATAAAGGATCTTCAGGCGGATTTGGCCAAGGCTCGAGAGGAACAGGCCGAGCTAGATAAACAGGTGAGCATCCTTTTGATAGAGTACGGATTTGACCCAACTGTAGAGGTTAACACTTCGTTATCTCAGCTGCAACAAAAGGTTGAAAAGATCAGGTTACTTCGGGGAGAAGTCGATCAGGTCAAGGCCGAGTGTGATCAGTGGAAGGAGACCATGGACCGCCTGGCTGCAGAAAAAAAAAGCTACCTTGGCCAAACTATTATCGGCCGAGGTCCAACTTCGGGGCGTCAAATAGAAAAGTTTGGCCCAAGCCAAGAGGATCGAGGAGCTCGAAACCGGGCTTGCTAAGGCCAAGGTGGAGATCGAGAAGACAAAAGTCATGGCGGACAAGTCTATTTCTATGTACCGGGCCAATGCTGAGGCTGCTCAGATGCAGCTAAAGGAGGCTTCTGATTGAGAGCAATGGATTATAGACTCGGCAAAGTGCCAATCCCGGAGGGAGACCCTCGAGGAAATCCATACTCGAGGTTTTGACCTCTCCGAGGAGATAGCCCGAGCCAAGGTGCTTGAGGCTGAAGCCAGGCAGCTTACCTCCTTCGATGACGAAGATGATGATGAAGAAGGCAGTTAAGGCGGATCCGATGAGGGGCCTGAAGGAGACGTTGCTCCCGAAGAAGAGGTCGAAGACCAGCCGTAGTTAGGACTTAGTTTCCTTTTTTGCAAGTCCTTAATCGGTCTCTTGTAACTCTCGTTAATCATAAACTATTACTGATTGTGTCGAAAGTATCTCAATATAAATTTTAAGACTTCGTTAAAGTGATAACAGCTTTTGGCGGAAGAATTTTACTGAAAAATGATAGAAAATTAAAGATGAAAAATAATAATAAAAAATAAGTGACAAAATATTTTTGACTGAGAAATTTTAGTGGTAAGAATAAAATGTAGAAAAATAAAAAAATACACCGAAAATTAAAAGAATCAAGATAAAAAATAAAGTAAAAGAGAGTGAGAGGGTTACATTAGAAAGAATAAAAAATAACTACAAAAAAGAAAAAATGAATAAGACTGCATAATTTTATTAGAAAAAAAATAAAGTGAAAAAATAACAACAAAATACTAAAAAAATAAAAAAGATAAAAAAATAAAAGCTTGATAAAAAAAACAAAGAAAAGAAGGAGAAGGAAGCCTGGGGCCCTAGCCATAGAAATGAAGGGACATCGTGATCTTAAAATCTTCAAAAGGGGCATATTTTGTCATTTTTCAGCAAGGAGAGCATTTTGCTTATTAAGTTTTTAAAAGGGGCTCTAAGTATCATTTTCTCTTATTTTAGATTTGCGAGGCCCAATAACGTGCAGGCCAATTTTCTTTCTTTTATTCCATAATATTTTAATCCATAGCAATGGTAATGTGTCTTAGCTAAGTGACTCTTGTAGATCCCAAAGAATAGAATGCTAAGTTATATTTATTGACTTGCTAATAATAGCTAAAATCATACACTTCCACCAAAACCATACTGTTATGCCTCAATAATATCAAACTTAGAAAAAAGAATCATAGGCGCACGTTAGTTGCTTTAGACGCGACATAAATTAATCATCATGGTTATGAGTACGGTTTTCGTGACATAGCTATGACACACAAATCCAAATTCAGGTATGCATTTACGCGACTTGACCAATTAACTTCAAATAATAAAAGTGTCATTAACCGTGGATTTTTGACACACAACACAACAAGGGTACGGTTCGCGCAACTTATTCAAAATAAATTTCATAATTCCTAAACAAGCAAATAAAAGCGTTTTAAAAGCGGAAAATGCGTAAAATCCCTTAAAACATAGAATATCCGGGATTAATTAAGTTAAGTATAAATTGTTAAGCGACCGTGCTAAAATTACGAAACTCGAGGAGTGCCTTGCACCTTCTCTCCGGTTAACAGAATTTCTTACCCTGTCTTTTGTATTTGCGGACCATATTTGGAGTCAAAATTTTCGTTGATTAGAGATTAAATAAAT